TGTCACAAATCGCCAGATCTTTAAATTTAGCCACAAGTATTAGTTTTTATAACACTTTCACAACTTTTAATTGTCTGTTAATTTTATAATAACCCTGTTCCTCTTCTCTATCTGGGAAGCCAGGGTCCGCAGAGCTGCATTTAGCCATGTCGAGCAAAGAGCTCATTAAGTCTTTGATAAACTGAAAAATTAAGAAGCTTGTTTTGTTTAAGCATACAAAAAAAAATTATTGATTAATTTTCGGTCTATTTTTACGGAAGAGGATTAGGGCCACTGGAAAAAAAAAAGTTAACTGATTTTTAAATTTAATTTCAGTTTAACATGGGACTTTCCTGTCAGAATTCTTTTTTCTCAGAATTCTGACTTTTTTCCCATACTAAACTGAAATAAAATTTTAAAATCAGTTAACTTTCTTTGTTTTTCCCCACTGGCCCTAATCCTCTTCCGTATATTTTCCTTTTTACACCAAAAAAAACAAAAAACAAAAAAAAAACAAAAGGAAAAAGCTGTCATATGTGGAAGCACTGCATATACTGTATATATCCCATGCACCATTTTCTACCTTTGGCACCTGCCTCTTCTCTTTTGACTATTTGAGCTGCTGTAAAAAGTAAAATTTCTCCACTGTGAGATTATCTACTTGATCAATCAACCAATCAATTTTTTTTTTTTAGATCTGTAAATATATTTATATATTTTTTTATTTTTAGTATGGAAAGTTGTATTGTCTTTCTTTGTTGTGTATTTTATTTCTTTAGATGATGAATGTGTACAATATGTTGTTTGTATACCTGGACTGTGTAACAAAGATACTTTCTCCCTGCGATCATTAAAGTATTTCCAATTCTGAATTAATCAATCAATAAATTTCAATCAAAACAGCAGCATCCCTCCCTACTTGGATGCAGGGCACAGATCGACTTACAAGTTGTTCAACATATTAATATATTCCTTTGCCCCAGCACTCAACAAGTTTGAAAAATACTCCCTTTGGCATCAAACATTGATCTGATCCATAAATTGCAGCCTTAGTCGGTAAAACGCCTCATCTTTACTTAGTAACTCCTCTCAGTGGCCATTTTTATGTGTTCCTCTTTGCGTCTGAGAGCGGTTGGGGCGTTGATATCATTCACTGATACTGTTAATCTTATATATAAAAAAAATAAGTTTTAAACTTTAAAACTAATCATCCTTCTTTTCATTTCATAAGATGAAATAAAAAAAGCTTGTATCTTTCACTCCTCGCTGTAAAAAGGAAAATACACCAAAGATGAATCAATCATCTTTTTTGTGCAAACTAAAAAATATATTTTTTTTCAGGTCTTTTATGTGCCACACTGCCACATTTTACTTCAAAGTGCAACAAGCTCCTTCATTTCTCAGTTTATCAAAGACTTAATGAGCTCTTTGCTGGACATGGCTAAAAGCAGCTCTGCGGACCCTGGCTTCCCAGATGGAGAAGAGGAATTATAAAATCAACAGACAATTAAAGGTTGTGTTAGTGTTAGTAAACTTAATGCTTGTGGCTATATTTTAAAGATCTGGCAATTAAATGTTTTCCAAATAAAATGCTTTTTTATTCATGCATCTTAATCAGCAGATGTATTATTTTTCTTTATTGTATAAGAAAACTAAACCATTCTTCAGTGCATTGTGAATAAGGAAGTCTTATAATAATAATTCAAATCCCTTACTGTAGGAGAGTTCTCTGTATGATTGCTCTGATTGAGAAAATATAATTAAAACTCAATAAATATGCAGGATACTTGATCAGCTGAGATCTAAAAGCCTGGGGCACGCAAACTGGTGAGGATTTATTTCTGCCTACTCTGGAAAACAAGAGCAGTGCTTAATAAAAAAGCTGACCCCCGACTAATAAGCCTCAATTTGAATTTCACTTCTGGGTCCACTTATAATGAAAAGGCTAAACTCATTTACTTAATTACAAACTGAGTAATATAAAGACTAATAAACTGTTTGATTTAATTACATTTTGAAAATGCAGAAAATTATAACATAAGACCAATTTAAGAACAATATTTTACCATATTTTTAAGATTGATTTTATTTTATTGCAAAACAATGAATTAACTTAGATTATGCTTATATATATTTGTATAATGAAACATAGTTATTTGCAAATGCATAATCATCAGATTTATGTATTCAGTATGAATAAAGTGTATTTTCTCAAACTTAATACTAATAAGTGTATTTATTTCAAAGAGGTAAAGTTTATTGTTTGGATTCTATAAAGGTAACATCGTTAAGTAGGAATTTCAATAAATAACAATAAATTTTATGCATTTGAAATAAATACACCTTTGTTTTGGGTCAGTATGCTTTATTCTTTCTAAAATGGAAAATTTTAATTTTGTATTCTAAATAAATAAGCTATGTTAAAGGAGTAAATATACATCATGCAAGGTTGATTTTTATAGGTTTATGTTAAAATGATACATTTTTTTTTAGTAAGAAAATGACATAAATCTTTAAATTTATGTGAAAAGCTGAAAGGACGGTGCACAGGTAGCAAGGATAGGAATATTATTTGGTGTTTTTTTCCTTGTTTATTAACCTTTGAAATGTGCAACTGTATGTAGTTATTCTATTTAACAAAGGTCACTTTATGAACCAAATTAGGAATACAACGTTTGGTTTTGATCATTTATTTTGGTAAAACTTTTTGTGTGTATTTAAGTAAATTACCCCTTTATTCAACCTGTATTTTTATAGTTAAATTTAATCTTAAACTCCTGCAGGCCAGTGGGTAGAAGCAGAGTTTCCTTACACGCTTCATTAAATGGTAATTTATATGACTGCTCGTATAACTGAAGCAACTTTCAAATAAACTAAATCCAATATAATTATTAGGATGGACTGCAAATCCCATAGCAATGAAGAGTTTGAAATGAGTAATATGGACTTTTATAACTCAAGGTGCTTAGAAATATATAGTATTCAAGAGAAAGCTTCAGAAACAGAGCGGATGGAGAACAATTAGAGTTATCATTAAGTCCTCTGAACTGATTTAATCTCTAACAAACTAGTAGCCTCTACTGTGTTTAAGAGACTGTGAAGCTGGGCAATGAGCCACTCTGAGATCAGGGCTCAGAATGAAAACGGCACATTTTTCTTTCATGCTCATTTATGTAACGTCACAGCTCACATCCGTACACAAAAACACACGATTGCTAAGGGTCAGGCACTTTTGTGAGGGTAGAGATATAGCAGACCAGGCCTGGACGTTAGATGAAGGCAGTAAAGAAGCTTTGCGTATTAAATCCAAAGCACAGCTGTGCTCTGTAAACACACACACACCCCCCACACCCACACACATAGAGCGGGTTTCTTGTTATATACCAAGCTCACCACTGCACATGATCAGTACAGAGCTGGATTTATGAGCTTGGCCAGTTTATAACCCTTGTTTTTTATTTTTTTTTATTCCTTTTAAGTCCAAATATAATATAAAGTTTTTTTTATTTTTGTTTTTTCGATTTTTGTTGTAAAAATCTTGAAGCCTGAACTCTTAAGTAACCATTGATTTCTTTAAATTTGAAAAAACTTCTATCCATGTGTGAAAGCATTTTAAACAGTTATTATTTTTTTTAAATTAATTCCTTTTTATTCAAATCTCTGGATTACAAATGTAGTATTTTGGTATCTGAGGCTCTTGGCATTATCTGCTGTCTGACTGAAATGGTTCACGTGTTTCTCAGCAGGTCTGACCCAGATTTACCTTCAACACAACAGCCAGACTTCTAATTAGCTTAGCACAGTAACCCAGTAGCACATAAAGTTACACTTCAGCTTTGACAGAGCAGGGAAGTTCCCCCTGGGGGACAAATATATATATATATATATATATATATATATATATATATATATATATATATATATATATATTCATATAAATATAACGTATAAGAATTTGCTGATTTCATCTGTAAAATGGAAAGTGAGAATGTTTGTTTTCTCGTTTGTCGCCAGCCTAACACCTATTGCATTCTGCCTGCTAAAGCAAAACATTGGATCCATCATTTGCAGCAGTTTTAGGTTAATGTTACAAATTTTTCAAGGTCAGTCGGACTGAAAGTCTGTGTTAGCATCAATTTCCAGATCTTGGCACAGATTCTCAGTCGGAATTAGGACTGCAGCTGGCTAGCACGAGTGGTAAGTCCCCTGTCCTGTAAACAGGAAGCCTGGGTTTGTATCCCAGCTGGGGGGAATGATCTGCCAGTGTAGGTCCTTGGGCAAGACCTTTCACATTAATGCTTGCTTTGGGGGAGTGATGAACTAGTGGTTGGGACATTGCGCTTTGAATCCAGAGGTTTTGAGTTCCCCACAGACTGCCACCCTGTACTCCTAATGCCCATGAAACCCCCTTTGATTGGACCATTTTAACTAATGAAGTTGCTGTGATCTTAGCACTTTCACTGTTTTGTTGCTCTTTTTACTCATTTAAATTTAACCTGGAGAGATAGATAAAGACAAATTGAATCCTTGGACTAGATCTGTCTTAATCTCCAGGAATGTTCTTGTTCTAAAAAGGTCAACCTCTGCCACTAATTTAGATATTTTCCTGCCTTTATCAGAGAGGGCAAGGGACCACAAAACAGGTTTTATTGGAATAATGAAGCACTGAATCAACAAGGAGGCTTTATGTAACATCCCCTCTGCATGCTGCATCCTATAAGTCGCAGCTTCCCACCATAAGAAGGATGTAAGACATACAGTTGGTGCTTATGTGAAATTATTATTGCCATTTGTGTAAATCTCTTGCAACAGGTGTAAAACTTTTGTGTGTTTTAGGAGTCAAGAGGCACTTCCACTGGGTTGCCCTGACCAAATGGCTCCTACGTATTTCCTTGACGTTAATTCCTTATTTATTTCCATTAACTATAAGCATTAAAAATGGGAAATAGTTTAGTCAGTATCAATGCTTTTGACCTTATGGTGAGGTTTTATTTGACCAAATGAACCGTTTAACTCTTGATAGCCTCCTTACCGTATGAGGTCCAGCAGAGCATCAGCTGAACTGGTCATCGGCTTTTTGCTCTCTTCAGAGTCCTCCTTCTGGGCGGCACCACCTGGATGTATGATGTAAACCATGAGGATTCCCACAACTACGGCAACAAAGGTGGTCCACAAGTAGTAGGAAATAGTCATGATGCCCAAGCGGCTTGAGCACTTGGCGTCCAGGGCAGCCAGACCAGACATCAAACTGTCAGAGGAGTCAGAAAGAGAAAAAGAAGAGAGAAAAGAAGAGAAAGTTATTACAGGTGTCCAGACAATGGGAAAAGTCATACCTAACAGCTACTTTTCCCTTCAACTTTAAAAAAGTAGCTTTGAAATGAAATGAGTATTCCTGCAAAGAAAAATGAGTAAAAGCAAAAAGAGTTTGATTAAGTTAGAAATGTTCAACAAAGTCATTGTTTCCTGTGTGGAAACTATTCACAAAGGGTTATTTAAACATTTATTTTCCATAATAATTAAAACTGCATAATTCATGTGCTTTTAAAAAGAAAGCCTTTAATCAAAAACTTTCAAGGTCTCAATGTGCAGTTTAGAAATATTCTACTCAGAGTGCTCTTCCACTTATGACAAAGCTGAATGAACCTGTGAGAATGTAAAGCAAGGAGAGTTCATTTGTAGAACGCATTTTTGGTCCAAGACCATTCAAATCATGACAAATGATAAAAAAGACATACATTCAATCGGCATGATAAAGAAAAGTAGAGAAAAGTTTTATTGGAGAATTATGACAATTCAGTTCGAAGAATTAAAAAAAAAAAAAAAAAAAATCAAAGGCAACTCTATACAAATGGGTTTTAACCTTGATTCAAAGGTTCTATGGGTTTCAGTACTTTTGCAGTGTTCTTGCAGCTGGTTTGAGATAAGTGGAGCATTAGAAACTGAAAGCCGCCTTTCTTTGTTTGGTTTTAGGTGGCAGAGTTGACTGCTTACCAGTAGAAAAATAAAACGTTTATTACATAAAAATCTGGCTTTTGTAAAATGATGAAAGTGTCTAGTGAAATGTGGATAGCTGCTTACTGTGGTCAGAACTCAACTTTGATTCTAATTGGATTTATCTGCAGCATTTTACACCCTGGATCATAACCTATAACTGCAGAGGTTTAAGGTAATTCTGGGACAGTTCTAAAGTGGTCGTCCTCATACTAAACAAAGAGAATATAAATTCTGTTTATCTATAACTTTAGGTCTGGAGCCGCTGCTTTACTGTATGCTATTCCTCAAGGATCTGTCCTCGGTCGTATTTTGCTTTTGTTGTATAATCAGCCCTCTTTGTAAAATCCTCAGCCATTTTAAAAATGAGTCCTGTCATCTTCATGCTGAGGATATTCAGCAATAGTTCTAATTGTGATCTTGTGTTGTTTTGTCTTCCTGCCTCAGGACGACGGATGTAAATTAGCAACTATGCTATAATCTGGCTCATTTACAATCTGTACAGAAGTATAAGATTGTTCATTAATGTGCTCTGTCCTGATTAAATAAGTAAAAAATAAAAAATAAATTTAAATAGTCAGTTTTGCACAAATGGGCAGATTTATTGGATTGTCTTTCAAATATGAGGACTTTGCTCACTGAAAACTGCCTTCAATTCAGTTCTAAAATACAAAGATTGTTGCAGTAGAGCAGAAAATGCCCTTATTTGTGAGTCACATTGTTTTCCTAGACTCCGCTGTTCAGCTGAACATTAGAATCTCGCTGTATGGTTTGACCAGTCATTGTGTCTTAGAAGCCTTTATAAACTTTGGGATTTAAATTTTTTTTATCACTTGAGAAATATATGCCAATTTGAGGCCTATTGTGTCCTGTTCTCATCTTCCTGATTCAGGATTTTATATCCTCTCATTTGGAGTATTGTGAAGCTTTTAAAAACAAAAAATTATAAAGAATTTATTAAGGCCAATAAGAACCCCAAGCAAGACTTTTAACAGGAAAATATTTTAATATTGACTTTAAGAGGCTGCAGGGTGGTACAGTTTGTAGCCCTTTTGCCTTGCAGTAAGGAGGCAAGGAGTTTGAAAATTCTCCCCATGCATTTTTGGTTTTCTCTGAGTAATTTAGCTTCCTGCCACTGTTCCAAAACTGCACTGTTAGATAAATTGGCTTCTTTTTTTGTAGGTGCATAGTTGTATGTGATGGACTGGTGTACCCAGCCTTTCACCCATAGATTGCTAGAGATACTGGCCCCCTGTGACCCTGATAAGCAGCAGAAGATGGATGGATGGATGGATGTTTCTGATCTGTTTTGCCCCTACACTTCTGGTTATTCACTGCAGTTATCTGGGCAGAGTCTTCTAATGGTTCCACAGACCCGCTTTAAAACCAGAGGGGACTTGTCTTTTTACTATGTTATACCATAATTGTGGAATATTCATCTTCTGTCTCCTTGCATGGCCAATTCTTTTATTTCTTTTGAAAAGCAGAGGAATACTTTGCAATTTAATCAAGCTTTTTGTTTGCAGAGCATTTCTTGCTTCTCATTATTTTTTTTACTATTTTAATAGATTTTTTTTTAGATATTAGGGTTTTATTTAAGAAAAGTTATATATAAGTTAAAGTTTTTTCTCCTTGAGCCAGTATACCAGAGAGGTCTGGGTGGTAGAAGCACTGACAAAAAGTCTGAAATACTTCAGTGCTAAGATATTCAGAGGTTTATAGACTAAAAAAAGTTCTTTAAAGTCAGTCCTCTGAGATCCAGGAATCAAATGCAAGGACTTTAAAACCGGAGTGATGTGATCACTTTCTTAGTTTTAGTGAGGATGCATACAGCAGTTTTCTTGAAAGTCTGATGGGCTTTTTAGACAGACCTGTGAACAAGTTACAGTCATCAGTGATACTAAACATGAATGCAAGATTTAGTTTTTCAAGGTCCTGCTGAGACGTTAGTGCTTTAATCCTGGACGACAGACATTCAAACCAGGGAAATCTGCTCAAGGACAAAGAAAACATACATTTTCTATTGAGCCTTCCACACATTTATAAAATTGCTTTTTAGCTTATTGTGAAGAAAGAAAAAAAAAGTAACTGGCATTTCATTGTAAACAATAAGACAATTTTGCATCAAAATTAGCTTTAAATGCTCTTCCTGCTTGAAGCTTCTTTTCTCTGCAGCAAAAGTAAACCCGGAGCATGAAAGAAGCTTTCATGCATAACTGCTTCACAGTAGGTGTGTAACTCCAATTGCTGTAAATGTCAGTTGCTAGAATCAAGGAAAGATGTAGGGAAGCTAGGAGTAAGAAGGGAGATGTGGAGCCAGAAGCAAGCACAGCTCACTGAAACTGTGCCTTAATAATTATAATTGCTTAAATTGAAAGTCATTATTCTTATTCCCAACTTGCTGTAAGTGTTTGATTAAAAAAATAAGACTGTAAAAGAAAATGGTTTTGTGCTATTTCACAGGAAATTCTTATATGGTACGCAAAAGATCTAAAGTATATTTTTAATGATGGTTAATCTTTGCACTATATTTCTGTTACAAAGTGTTCAAGTAGAACAGCAGATATTTTAAGCGCCTATTTAGCCTCCGGTCAGTTTCAAAGAATACAAACATGCTATTAAAATTGTGTGCAACATTGTTGTTGAAACATAAGGAGCGAAGATGAGTTAATCAGCCTGATGGTGTGGACGATTGAAAAGGAGCCAAAAAAAAAAACATTGGAGCTAAACTTTAAAGCCAGGGTTCATTTACTATCTGATTGCAGCATCCTTTGCATTAGCATTTGGAAACATAACTACCCTACAAAATAAGACCAGGAGGCCTCCTCTATTCAATAAAAGATGTGAAATCATGCAACTAGATTGATCTGAGAAGATTGGAAAATGTCGATGTGAAAAGTTCACCATTCAAACTGGAAAAAGTGAGAGCATGTGCTCAGAGAATCTGGGATCAAACTGCCTGATGGCAAAATCACTGTGAATACAGCAGGGTACCACCTTTCTACGGAGCCCCCTAGGGGACATGGGGAATGTTTTTTTCTTTTGCGTTCCCTCGCAAAAGTATTGCGTTACCTCGCAAAATTTTGCGTTACGGTCCCTAACCACTCGCCTGGCCGCTGCCTGTGCATAGAGATCAATGTAATACATCCAGCTCGAAGAACAGCTCGTTTTTCTCGAAAATAACGCTTTTTGATTCTTGTAATACGTAGTCTGTGCTATCAGGACATGAAAGAGGCGCCATTTGTGTTTCAACAACAAGAGTTACTGATCCCGGAAGTCAGAATCTGTGAATATCTTTCTAACTTTACCGAAGTAAGGTTTTGCAAAAGGTTTTGCGAGGTAACGCAATACTTTTGCGAGGGAACGCAAAAGAAAAAAAAAAAATTCCCCATGTCCCCTAGGGGGACCTTTCTGTCCGTGCCATTTGTTTTATATGCTTTAGTTCTATGACATGTTCAACCGACTGGATTGTTAAAAGTGAAACCCAGTTTGTGGTAATTATGTAATAACAGTAAATGTTCACACTAAAATTGAGTTTTTTTCCTCTCCAATGTCACTTCTTACATGCAGAATATCAGGAAAAACACCATACAACTGATCGTCTACTGTCACTACGAACTCATCCAGGAGGAGTCAGTTCTGTTAGTATAATGAATTGGTGCAATCCATTAAGTTCCCCTTATATAGAAAGCTTGTCAGTACGATTTAATACAGCTGACCCTGTAAATTGCCTTAAGATGACATGACTTGTCGCTAGATAAATAAACTGAATTGAATTGCAAAAAGGTATTAGATTCGAGTTATCCCAGCGATGCTTTTGCTCGCTGCGGAAGGGCGCAGACAAAACTATCCGCAGCTGTATCTGTGCTCAGTCTGTTGAGCTGGTGTGACGAGATTATCCGTCCGTCAGAGCATAATCTGCTCGCACTTGGCAAGTGTTCACATGAATGTGTTCACTGGGTCGGGCCTTTTTTGGATTTTCACAGACTGTTACACACCAATAAAAGGCAGAGATATAACCTGATTAAAGTGTAACTAGCTGCCAAATAAAAGTCATTCATGCGAACAAATACCACAGGATGCTAAAGTTGCTATCAAAGAACCACCATGCTTATAGTATTAGATAATATATAAACTTTCCCGTTTTCCTCATAGAAAATCTTGATGAACGCCCCCCCTTACCATTACAGTAGCAGAGGGCGTTTTGAAATATGTCCAGCTGTATTTTACTCTGTTTAAAGTTTTTACATTGTGTGC